CCCTTTTGGTTCATCCGGTTTATAAGTTGAAGTTCCCATAAAAGTTCAAATTGAGGGACCAAGTCACACCTTATTTCTATGTCAAGTCAAGCTTCTTTTGTTTGTATTTGGAGCAAATATCTTTAAAATCCTATATATAGATAATTATAAAAAAAATTATATATTAATTGTATAAATGTACTTTATATTATTGATGAATAAAACTTAAACTCATATACATGCAGTCAAATCTCTCTATAACAGCCTCATTTGTTCCGAATATTTTTTGATGTTATAGCGAAGTGTTGTTATAGAGAACATATATTAAAACATAACATAAAAATTGGTTCAGAAAAAAACTTGGCTTTTATAATGAAGTGTTATTATATATATGGGGATGTTGTTATAGGGAGGTCTGCCCGGATATGTTCTAACATGCACGGACACACATGTATGAATTCATATTATCAATAGGGGTGTTCATGGTTCGGTTTGGGTCGGTTTTTCCCTAAAAAGAAACCAAACCAAGCAAGTCGATTTTCCAAATATTGGAACCAAACCAAACCAATTAAGCCGGGTTTTTATCGATTCGGTTTTTGTCGGTTTTTCAGTTTTTCCGGTTATATATCGGTTTCTTTTCTTAAATATGAGACATATACTACCAAACACATATTTCGGCGACTACATTTTCAACGTAACACTATCAAATCAATTGCTCTTTGAAAAATCTATCATTTACTGATCACGCCCAACTATGCCTTATAAAAAGGACAATGCGGTCGTTGCAAATATAATCCGGTTTACAAGTCCGGAGTCGAATCCCACAGAGAACAAAGGTTTAGCTACATCTGTTCACTATCACCAAGAAGACAAGCTTGAACAATTCCTAACTTATAGATATTAAGATTCTTGTGCTTAACTACTTAACTAACAAATTAAAATAGTAATTTAACAACTAAAGATACTGAGGGTTAGAGAAAAGATTAAGGAGGTCTAGAGTTATGATTACCCCAATTGTCGGAATCCTTCCCGCTATGTCTTCTATAATTTCGCCTAAGTATTCTCTACCGATCATGAGCACTCTTATTACCGTAAATCTCTCCCGAGTAATTACGACAATTTACTAGACGCACTCTTCCGAGCTACGCTAGCTGGCTTTTAATACATCTCACTTCAGATTGCACCCAAGGCTTCGTTATCCCTAATCCCGCCTTTAAACCCTCGGTTATTGATCCCTCATATACTCTGGGAGTGGTGTTGTTCAACAATTACCTAAATATGCACTCTCTCCCGAGTTATGCATACTAAATAGGCACAGCTAATTGAGAGCTCTTCAATCAACCACAATATAAACGTAGTTGAACAAATAGAGAAAAGCTATGGCTCAATTATATAAAAACATAACAAGAATTTATCCTACAAAAGGTTCTATCAAAACTCTAGATAACAAATTAGTTATTCATAATAGTATGTAAAACTACAATACTAAAAGTCATAACCAACAATGAGAAATAGGAAGAGGAAGGAAAAACTTGTAGAAGAATTTTCCGCCTTGCTCCCAATGTGTTCTTGCCTCCAAGGATGTTGTCTAACCCTAAAGTAGTGTCTCTCCGCCTCCTTAGGTCTAATTTGTGTCCAAAATATGTCCTCCTCTTGTTCTAGGCCGGCCTCCTTTGTTTTATATAGGGTTTAGGACTTAAAATCCCATGTTTTACACTTTAGCCCCTGAAATTTACGCTTCCCACCGCGGTTTCACCGTGATCGCGGTGGAACCGCGGCCAAACGCCCTCGCGGATTCTTCATTCTTCAGAAAATGCCTTCCACCGCGGTTCTGCCGCAGTCGCGGCAAAACCGCGGTTTTTCATCCTGTTTCGTTTGGAATTTGGAAAAACGTAAAACATGAAAGTTGTAGCCCTTTGAGTTAACTTTCCAACCATATATTGTGGAGCCCAAATGGAGTTCTGAGCAAAAAGTTATGTCTATTTTACTAGACAGTGCGCAATATGCCTCCTCAAGTCTTCGTTCGTACTTAATTATCAAATTTGACCCCCGAACACGATCCCGGCTTAATTCCTTGAGCTTTTACTCAGACTTCAAAGCTTAAAATCACTAAAATTCATTCCATAACATCTATATAGCTCGGAATCACACTTACAAGGCATAAAACACACAATTAGTGCAAAACACTAGCGATTAAAGCGCAAACTCAATTAAAGTGCAGTAAATTCGAGTGTAATAAGCGACTAAAATATGCAATTATAGCCTATCATCATTTACCAAAATATATTGATTATAATTGAATCAAATAGTAATGAATAATTTAAGTACTCAATTAAAAATCGATTATTTTTAACATGAAATAAATTCTTGTATTTAGCAAAAGAAAACTACCAATCAAACTAGAATATAAAGACAAATAATTAGATTATTATAATAGCAAAGAACTAGACTAAAAATACAAATGACTAATATGTACTATAAATTTTAGAAATTTTATATAAAAATATACATATATATAGGTGTAATAATAAATTTAAATAGCTATTTTTATAGTCGGTTTGTTTTGACTTTTTTCGGTTATTTTTTGATTAAAACCAAAACCAAACCAAATTTGGTTGGTTTTTAAAATTCAAAACCAAAACCAAACCAAATCTAAAAGTATCAGTTTTTTTGATCGGTTTGGTTCGATTTTTCGAGTTTTAATACACACCCCTAATCAATAATAAAATTCATTTTTTGAAAGGCCAGTAACAATGAGATATTCCATTGATAAGTATTAGCGACTCGCAAGATATGCACTATAACTTTTAGAATTGAGGTGCTAAAAATTTGAATTTAAATGTAAAAAGATGAAAACATACGATATTGAGGAAAGGATATATCTTGAAATTACTATAATAGTGCAGACACATGATAAATGCTCTTAAAAAACAAGTATTCAACTTAGGAAACTATGTTCCCAAGGTTTTATATTTGGTGTTGTCTCTAAGTTGAGTATTCAAACCATTAATTAAATTAGGATTTTCCACCATCTAATATCAATTAATATCATACTAACAGTTAGATTAGACTTGTATCTTGACTTATCTATGAAATAAATAAGAATAAATTATATTACCTCGTGGATTAGGCACTTGTTATAATCAATGGGCTATTATATGTCTGAAAGAAATGCATAGAGTAGAAAATGAGTGTATGAAAATTCTCAAGGTTTCGTTGCATTTAATATTCTTTAACATAATATTTCACCCGTACACTTCTACTTGGCATGTATACTAAGAATATATTTTTATTTTTACTTGTCACTTTACACATATCAAGAAAAGACAACAAAAAAAAATCTTGTTATACCCACAATATTTATTACTTTTCAAATTATTTTCTCAAATCCAATAAAATATGCATCAATTAATATGGGTACCATGGTAAATTATGCACTTCATTTATTATTTCTTAAGGGACGTGAAAGTCAAAACGTGACAAGTAAAAGTGAACGGAGGGAGTATAAAAAGCTTGCTTTAATGATTCATCAAAGTGTTAATATGGCCTTTGATGAGATCGGCTACACTTCATTAATTTGGTATCATAACTAGAGTAGTTAATGCATGCTATTATTTGTCAAAAAGAAGTTCAAAGATTTGAATTTTTAACATTAACGTAAAACAAGACCAAAGAAATGAATCCATTTAGTAGTACATAGCCCATCCCGCATTTACTTTGAAATGATTTATACAAGATAAAATTCCAACGGATATATATATATATATATATATATATATATATATATATAATGGTATTGTTTATATCTTAAAGTAATGCATAAATCATCCTTCATACATTCAGAATTTGCATATTTGACAACCAACAAATAATTCAAATGCACAAGAACTGAAAATGAGTGTATGAGAACTCAAGTCTCAAGGTTCCATTGCATTTACCATAATTCTTTAAGAATGATATGTGAAAATCTCAAAACATGAAACTTTAATACTCTTAATCTCAAAACATGAAACTTTAATACTCTTAATAGCAAAAGCTTTCTTTAATGATTCTTCCAAAATGCTAAAGATATAATAAAGTATTTGATGAGATCAACTATACTCCATTAATTTGTATCCATAATTTCTCATTATGGTAGTTGATGCATGCATTTGCAATTTGTCAAAGAGAATTTCAAATATTTGAATTTTTAACATTCACAAAACAAAAAAGACCAAAGAAATGAATTCATTAATATGTTCTACAAGAAAAAATCTCGTCCAATTTCTTTTTATTTATCTAAATTTTAGTAGATAGAGATTCGATACTCATGCCAGTAGGATATAACAGAAATTCAACAAAATAGTCAAAATGCGCATAAGCTGACTCATATATCAATCTTAATAAAAACACTTAATTATACTAAAAAAAGGATATTTCATTAAAAATAGAAGGAAAAAAAGAAAGAAGAAAAAAAGAAAAAAGCAGAAAAAGCCATGATTTTGGTGGGTAAGCAACTAGAAGTAGACTGAAAAAGGACAAATTGCTGTTGTCATTAATGAAGATTTGGCAGTACGTTCATGATTAGTTTTGTTTCACTAATTACTTAATAAAGCCTAGATTTTGGCCAACTTTATCCCTCTCTCGTACTTGCACAATAAGTGATTAATTTGCTTTTTGATATTGATCCAAAATAAGTATCCATTTATATAATCAAGAAAAAATTCAATTTATTTTTACAAAATTACCCTTATGTATATATTCCTAAAAAAATTTCTTACTTCTCACATTAAATATTTAATTAAGGATAGTTTAGTCATACTAGATATCTTTATATAAAACTTATTATTTTTTAATGGGCGTGACAAAAACAAATTGATAACGTATTGTGGATCCAATAGAGTAACAAAAAGATAAAAAAAAAACAATAAGTCCAAAACTCAAACAGTTGGCAAATTATGATTATAAATCAAGCTTAATGTAAACAGTAGTAATATCGTGGGATTTTACAGAACAGAAAAAAGTGTAGTTATAATAATAATGATAGCAGAGTAACGTTTTAAGTTCTGTCATATCTCTGAAAAAAGCCATTTGCCTTTCTTCTCTGCTTCTGCTGCCTTTTGCTTACGTATTTCCTTACTTTCTGCTACCCTTTAACGCCTCTCTAAAATACAATCTTCTCTCTTTTACCTTAGAACCCCTTTTGATTATTCTTTCTGTAAATTTCTTTGTTTTTTTTTCCTGTTTTTAGAACCTACCATTTTCTTGAAAAACAAAAAAAAAAAATGCTGTCTCATAGTATGGGTTGGATGGATGGTAAAGAAGATGAAGAAACTGGTACATGGGTTCATCAAAATAACAATGAAAATAATCATAACAACAACAACAACAGAGATGAAATGGAGATGGGTGCACTTTCTACATTCAAATCTATGCTTGATGCTGAAGATGTAGACTGGTACAACATGGCTACTAATAACAACAATCACAACAACAACAACAACAGTGTTGGTGCCATGCAATTTGGTTCTAATTTTACTGAAGCTGAAAACAATTTGCTTTTACAGCCAGTTGATTCATCATCTTCTTGTTCACCATCTTCTGCTTTTAACAATCTTGACCCTTCTCAGGTTCACTTTTTCTTGCCCCAAAAATCCACTATTCCTCCTTTGCTTAGTGCCTTAAACAACCCATTGGAAAATGGTTTTGATTTGGGTTGTGGTGAAAAGGGGTTTCTTGAAACTCATCAAAATTTGAGTGTTTTGAATAAAAATGGGATGTTTACTAGTGGGTTTCAAGATTTGAGCTCTCAAAACCAAATGGGGCATAATAATTTGAGTTCTTTTACTCAATTCCCTTGTACCAATTTGCTACAAATGCCTCAAACAAATTCTGGTTTTGGTCCATTAGTGGGGTTTGGGGAAAATTCTGCAAATGACCACTCTTTGTTTTTGAATAGGTCTAAGTTACTAAAACCTCTTGATAATTTTGCTTCAATTGGAGCACAACCTACTCTTTTCCAAAAAAGGGCTGCACTTAGGAAAAACTTGGCTAATAATAGTAGTGGCAATTTGGGGAATGAAATTGGTCAGACTTCAAGCAATAAAGAAGTGAATGAAATGAATAGGAAATGTAGTAGTAATTTGGATGAACTTGAAGATGTAAGTCTTGATGGATCTACATTGAATTATGATTCTGATGACCTTATTGAAAAGGTAGAGGATAGTGTTAAAAATGGTGGAAATAGCTCAAATGCAACTAGTACTGTTACTGGTGTGGATCAGAAAGGGAAAAAGAAAGGACTTCCGGCTAAGAATCTGATGGCTGAACGCCGCCGTAGGAAGAAACTCAATGATAGGCTTTACATGCTGAGATCTGTTGTTCCAAAGATTAGTAAGGTATGAAATTCCTTTTACAGAAAATTCTCGTGAATTTTGATTACCATTTTAACATGTTTTTAGCCATTCACAATCATCAGCATTTAGCTTCCACCTCCAAAAAGAAGAGTTTGGTGGGGGTGGGGGGGAGTGGCATTGTTATTGTTACTTCGTCCGTCCATTTTTACTTGTTCATGATTTACTAGGCACCCCCTTAAGAAGCAATTACTAAGTTTTCTATAACACCCCTAACTAACAACAACAACAACAACCCTGAGGTAGGGAGGCTGTTTCCGATAGACCCTCGACATCCCTCCCTCCAAGACTCCCCACCTTGTTCTTGGGGTGACTCGAACTCACAACCTCTCGGTTGGAAGTGGAGGGTGCTCACCACTAGAGCAACCCACTCTTGTCCCCTAATTAAACTTCGGAAAGTGAATAGTAGTAAGGGTAAATTATGTATAAAATGATTATGTCTTGGTTTTCCAAACGGGACAAGTACAAATGAACTTTTTTTTGTATAGTGGACAGGTATAAAAGGACGGCGAGAGTATTTTTTATTTGTCTATTTTTGTCTTTCGTATTCTTAAGGTTAGCTAGGTTTCTTATGGTTACCATGTTTGAGTTGTGTATAGTTCAAAAAGGTTTGTGAATTTAAGTATAATTGATAGTAGCATTAAATTCATTCACATGGAGTCTATGAGCTGATTTTTAAAAGCATGTAAATTTTGGACCACATAGAGAATAGAAGGCTATTCTTGAAAGGTACCTTTCCTACAGTAACTCATTAAGAGTGATATCTAGTTCACTGGCTTATTGTAACATGAAATTTATTTAATTACAGTATGTTTCTTTGCCAACCCCCTCCCCACCTGCCCCAGCGGGGAGAGGGGGCTGGGACCTATTTTGAGTCTCCACCTAGTCGTTCCATTACTCAATTATTCGAGATATTCATATAGTTTGATTAGCCATAATTTGTTGCTGATTTACTAGTAATAACAAGATAGGTGTAGTGCTCCAAATATTAACCTGTATATAGGAACTTATTAAAATACCTCGAAGGCTCATGCAAATTTACTGAGGAAAATTTGTTTAGAAGAAACTTGAGGTGATCAAAATAAAATACTCTTCCGGTCTCAATTTATGTGGTACTCTTTCCTTTTTAGTGAGTCCCGAAAAGAATCTCATCTTTCCTTATTTAGAACAATTTATCTTTAGAATTCCTACTTTGCCTTATGAGAATTTACATCCACACAAATATCTATTATTATATTAGACCACAGGTTTTAAAAGTCTTCCGTTCTTTCTTAGACTACGTGCCGAGTCAATTACTACCACATAAATTGGGACGGAGGGGTAGTTAGCTCCTGCTGGTTAGTCGTCCTGATTTTATGAGACATCTGTTGCAACTTGAATCTGACTCAAGTCCTAAAGAACCCGTGCATTTGTTTTTAAGCTTGCTGAATGAAACGAGATATTTTGTCTTCTTGACTGCTTGATACTGGAAGTCTTTTCTTGGCTATAACTTGGAAATGGTGCGAACACCTTATATGCTGTTACTCGGCCTGGTGAATTATCGTGAATCAGATTGTGATTTTGTTTGCATGTTCGCAGATGGACAGGGCTTCAATCTTAGGAGATGCAATTGAGTACTTAAAGGAGCTTCTACAGAAAATCAATGACCTGCATAACGAACTCGAGTCAACACCACCTGGCTCTTCATTGACTCCGGCAACAAGCTTCTACCCTTTAACGCCAACTGCAACAGCTCTACCTGGCCGAATCAAGGAAGAACTTTGTCCAAGTTCATTTGCAAGCCCACTGTCTAGCCCTACTGGTCAACCTCCAAGGGTAAAATGTCCTTCCTTTTAGCCAGAAGAAACTTAATGCTGGAATTTTTTACTCATTAGATGTGCATAAATGTTGAAATGTATTGATAGTGGAAACTTTTTACTCCTTTTTCTTTTCGATTTGACATTGGAAATATATTAATATCTTTTTTGTAGTAGCATTTCCTGTCTAAGTTCATCATACTTTTAGCATTCGTTATGTTATCGGTCTGAGATGATGCATGCAGATCTTTTTGTACTTGTAGGTTGAAGTAAGGGCAAGAGAAGGAAGAGCCGTGAATATCCATATGTTTTGCAGCCGCAGACCAGGCCTTTTACTCTCAACAATGAGGGCTCTGGACAATCTTGGACTGGACATTCAACAGGCTGTTATCAGCTGCTTCAATGGGTTTGCCTTGGATATCTTCCGAGCTGAGGTACCTTCTTTCTGTGAACTTACTACATCTCGGACACTAGGATTAGAGAATGCTTCCTTTGCGCGCAATAAGGTTTGTTGATGGAGAATTGAAGTCTCATCAGCTTTGTATGACCGCGACATCCTTCTAGAATGACAAACCTATTTCCATAACAAGCCGTCAAAAACTTCTTTGAATGTCAAATCAATCAATCAATATGTGAATGCCAGCGAAAAAGTAGTCATAATAACATGAATCATCCTCTTAAAAATGAATTGTTTGAATGTCAATCATGAAAATATTATAGCATGTAATGACTGTACAAATTCAAAATACAACAAAAATGTTCAACTGCAAATGGGAATAAGAATTGCACAGAAACATACATGTCAGAAAAGCTGTGCAGCAACGCTAGAATTGCTAAAGTTTTCTTGTTTACTTATAGAATGGGAGCGTTGCACAATACTGTGGTAGTTGACACTTCAATGAGTACATATTTGATGATATATGCCATGAGTTGCGCGAACTCTGCTTTTTTCCTCCTTAATTTACTGTACCTCTGCTACTTCCGTTATCTGAAGAGCAAGGAAAAGATGTTTCAAGTATTGAACCCTTCCCCATATCTTTAATTGTTGGTTTGTTATCCTTGACCAAAACATTGAGTTGTGGATATGATTCTTTGACTTGTAATTTTAATTTTGGATCGTATTTAATCGCAGCAATCCAAAGAAGGTCAAGACATCCATCCCGAACAAATTAAGTCTGTGTTGCTGGACTCTGCTGGCTTCCATGGGATGATATAAGCTCTTGCGGTTTTCAACGAGAGGTTCTATCCAAGATTTAGGACCTCATGCTCTAGCTTTTAAAACTCAGACTTCCTATGCCCCTTTTGCAGTTAACAGATATTTTCATCTATTAGCCATTATATTGTGTCTTCTCTAGGAAAAACATTGAGCGTATGCTTAGAAAACTGAATGCTATGAAATTTTTCAGTGACAAGTTCCTTATTCTGGATGATCCTTCTTTATTCAGTCATTTTTTACATACCAGGCAATTCATTAATGGTATGGAATGCAGCTGCCTTTCGTGTAAGCTGAGAAGTCTCCGATATGAATGAATGACCCATCGATTGACTTCAATTTTGCACTAGTAACTGTAATTACTTGCTGTGGTTGGTTGCTCTTGAGTTCTTACCATGAAAATTTTGCTGCAAGATATACTTTTTCCACAATAATTATGCAAGGGCCTCTTTAATGGCTCGTTTGGTACGAGGGATAAGGGATAATTAATCTCGAAATTAAATTTGAGATAAGTTTATCCCACATTTAGTTGGGATAAAATCATGGTATAACTAATCTCCCGGAATTGTAATGTTTTTTTATCCCCCGGGAGGGTGGGTTAACTAATCTCGGGATAACTTGTTTCCGAACCAAATAACCCCTAAGGGGGTCAATATTTGGTCCTAAGCCACGCTACTCAGGTCATTAAGTTCATCTTACACATGATATAACAACTGTCTTTTGTTAAGCTTTGCCATTTCGGTCTTCTAATAAATACCTGTCTCCCAAAAGAAAATCGAAACATCAGCATATATATATATATATATATATATATAAAGAACTATAATAACAAAAATGAAAAGTAGCAAAAACCCAGAACCTGTGGGAGTCTGGTTATTTAATCGTTTACAGTGAGCTTCAGTGTATCGTAAAAATATTGGGGAATCCCAATGGCTTTGGGTAAAGTTGAAACTGAATAGAATTGCAGTAACTGACAATAGAACTGCAGTTGCCTATTGATCCCAATAGAAAGAGTAATAAAACTTCTCGAAGTTGCGCCAACCTCCAAAAGGAGACTGCAATTTGGTTGTGTCAACAAAGGGTAAAGAATCTGACCAATAAAACTAGCTAGGTCAATTACAAAAATTTATGTCTTGTAGTCGAATTCTTATGACCAAATTGTAGAACCAACTACAAACAGATGGTTCACCCAGAAAAAACTTCTTTTCTAACGCATTACCATAATTGCTGATACAAAATATGTAGTCCGCCTGAAGCAGTTGGATACCAGTTCGCGTATATCAACAGTAAGAGACAGGTACATGGTGTATCAACATCTTACTTACATCTAGAGCTAGAGAAATTGGTAAACGGGGTATGTACAGAATGGATTGACAATAGCAAGCTTAATGACCACGCTGATAATTTACATATACTATGTATAGATAGACACGAGGCCAGAAATTGGCTCCAAAAAGGGGGTCCAAAACTGCAAATATTGAAGCTGGCATATATATATGGAGAGACCATGACACCCAGAAGTCAAAGGGACTTGATATTGTATGTTACTATCTTCAAAAATCCCAAAAAAAGCAACACCAAGGCGGATACATGCCATCTCCTCTGCAATCTTATAAACCTGTCAAATAACCAGCAACAGTAGTTAAGCAACTAGAAAGAGCAGATGGAGTAACCTCCATCCCTAATTTTCAGGAAAATTAAAGAAGAAATGAGGCAGGAAGTAAGAAATCGATTGCTTGCTCTTCCATTTGATTTCTTTCGAATACCTCGATTGAGGAAAATCTAGGATTCTTCTTGACCGGATTCAGAAGGATGTTGCAGACTCTTCACTTCTTTGGCTTCTGAGCCCTCTGCAACAGAGGAAGTGTCTTCACCTTTTGAATTAAGAGTTCCAGGATTCATCCGCTGCACCTCCTCTTTTGTATAGATAAAAATCTTGCGAACCATACCACAAAATTCCCTGTTCCCCAACCAGTGTTAGGCACAGCATAGATAACGTAACAAACACCAAAAACACACAGCAGTGATCCCGAGACACTACTACATAAGGAAGCAGCTCCAGGAGGAAAGAGAATCTCTCTCTGACGAATAAAAGCAAAGATGGGTAGTACTTACTGCCATGGATCATCTCCAACAAGCATCATGTCACCCTCGTCATCAGTGTACACAACCAGCCAACTCTTACTCCGAGCTTTGAGTTCACCATTAAAATCAAAAAGCTGATCTAGTTCAGCAATTAATTCATCGTAATTGTTGAATTTTGCAAGATCCACGGACCTTCCGAGTGCTGTACCCTGTTTGTGAACCTGTATGCAAAATGAATTGTTAGAAATTTCATTAAAGCAAACAGCCACTGTTATGAGAAAGGAACAGATTTAAACCTTGGTGCAGCTCCTTGTTGAACTACTATGACCTTTGGCATCCCTATCTCTAGCAGCAAGATGAGAGGTATGAAATTGTTTGTCCTGATCATTAGCTGTAATCCCATCATCTAGCACCTTTGATCCCTTTGATTGCTCAGACCTTTGATCAGAATCAGTAGCAGGGGATTGATGAGAATTTATACCAATATTCATGTTACTTGCTGAGTCCATCAATGAACTTTTCCGTGTCATTACAGGATCTGTGCAAACATTACTTGTAAGGGGAATGCCAAAGAGTTTGCAGTTTCCCTCTTTCGGTTTCACGGCCTCGGGTTTCTGTACTACAGTGGGTTTATGCATCAATTCTCTTGAATGAGAGGAGAGCTGAAAGTAAGGCGACACTGATTGAGGCATAAACCAGCTTCCCTGCTGATTGTCAACCCTATGACCAGGAAGGACTGAAAACTCGCCAAAACCACTATACCTAGCATCTCCCTGCATTTGATAGGGAGTATCACCACCTTGACCAGGAGCTTTTGATCCTGAATCCATCAGATTAAGAGAGAGACTGGAAGACAACAGAGACCATGGCTTTCCCAGTAAGCTGAAATCCTTTTCCTGGTCTTGTGCTTGTCGCTTCACCAAGCTAGCACCAAATGCTGTTTGGTCCGCAGAGGGTAAACAGAACCCATGGGAGGAGTTATTTTGCACTCCAAAACCTGATAATAGATCTGTGAGAGATGACTCAGGCCTCCCTAAAGGTAACCATTTGTCTGACAGATATCTTTTCGACGCAGAATGAATATCAATCTTCTCATCATCCACTGATGGTGGCCATAACATTGGTTTCTCAGATATGTCTGAGTCATTACTTTCTGCAAAACTGCCTCTTAAGGTCGATAACTCTTGACCTTGCAAGACCCTCGAAAACCCACTGGCTTGTGAAGGGTCTGCAGTTATTCTGGATGAACCTAAAAAAAATCCGAAAATGCATGACAATTACTTAGCTTGAGTCTGAGACTTAAAAGCAGTACAGAATAAAAAAAGATCAGATGAGATATCCACCTTCCCTAGAGAGGACAGATGAATCAGGAGATGAGGGCAAAATGCTGGATCTAGGCCTTTTTGGCCTTGCAATTGAAGGTGCATTAAGTGCAGGAGGGCTAAGAGCTGGCTCTATTTTCCACGGCGAAACTCGATCTGGCCTGGGAATGGTAGAATTTTCATCCCACCGAACCTTTAAAAACCATTAATGAATGATTTTTAGTGTGATATGAGGTAAAAGAAACAATCAAACCACGAAAATAAAATGAATACTACCTTCAGACATCTCCACTTGGACTCGGGCCACCTTTTGGGATCAGAATCTTCCGTGCCAACTATAGTTCCAGTAAACCTATAACATTGTAAGTTAGCTAAATCAGAGAAGTGAAGAGAAAATACCCTGTTACAGAAAATTGAATCAGACATTCTAATAATTTACTGTAACACACAGAGCTCAAGATTAGAACCAGTAAGTCAGATATTTAAATAGTAAAAAGATGATCTCTATTGATGGTAAATTAAACTGCAGAATACCTCTGCTCTGGAGCTTCTTCACCTTCAAATCTCATCTTAAACCTCATTCCAATGGAGTAATTGTTTTTCACGGACTCCATGTACTGGTCATATGGAACTATAAACTCAGCAGGGCTTGTCCTGTAAGATGCAAACTAAGTTGGTAAGGACTGCTAATCCTTTTGTCAGTGTTACACCAACAACAATTCAAGAACCTACTTATCACCCTGCTATCCCCCATGAATGAACTTTAAAATACTGCAATTCATCTGATTGTTAGGTGCCATCAGAGATATGAAGCATCCAGTTATGTTAGATGGCAACCAATTTAGATAAAATGCTTTCCCAAATGTACAGATGACAAGCAATGAAACAACAAGACTAAATGTAGCATTTAACTCTACAACTTATAATCAAAGATCTCTAGTTATGGCCTTCAAGTCGGTGCTTTGTTTGATTGTTACAGACCAGGTACCTTGGTTTGTAATACACGGTGAACATTGTTTTTGTTTGAATGGCATGCCAAGCTGTCGCAAGTACACCAAGATGCATGCTATGACTTGAAATCACTGATGATGGAGCATTTCCTTGCTGTCTCATGGCACGTCTAACTCCAACACGAAGCTCCCCGTTCTCACCTCTAAGGTAGCACAATGCAACAGATCAGACTCTAATTAATGGAACAAATAAATTCAGAGGGTTCCGCCAGACAAACCTAAGAAATATGAATGCATCCCCCGCAACAAGCCTTTTTGAACTAACGAAGACACTCCAACCACTCTGAAGAAGATGCCTCCTTGGTTGGCCTGGAGTTCAAATGCTTGGGTGAGAAACAAAGCAGAGGTTATATAGCAGGATAAACAAGCCCACCCTTCCAACAAAGGCATTCCAATGCACCAAAAATAAAGCAACATGCTACCATACTTCCAAAGACAAATCTTTACGAAGAAAAGGGAAAGAGAAAGTTTACAACCTCGGTCTATAGTTACAGAAGCAGAATTTTGTTAACCAACTTCTTCCCTCCCCCTTCACACTCCCTATCAAGTCATCCGCGTAACATTTTTAAAAGTGCCAGACTTAAAGCAATTTTCATTAGGACGTGTGATTACAAGAATGAAACTGACATGTTATACCGTCAATAGGACTTGATAGGTGAATGCGCTATGTGAAAGTGCATCTTACCGCGGAATATATGCCTGAAGCGCCACTCATTCCCATGTAAATCCTTGGCCACCAACTCCTGTGTTGGAGGCTGTCGAGACATATCCTGTTACAAATGCAAATTAAAAACTATAAGCCACTCCGTTTCCCCAAAAAATGGACA